GGGGGTTTCATGAGGGGGTGCTGGAAGAGATAGAAAAAGTGGGATAAAGGAGGCTTAATCTACATACCGTGACTCACTACTAATGTCGTAATAGACCCTTTCTGGTCGAAATTTATTCAAGATAGGAGAAATGGATGGGGTAGGAAGTTCATGTAATTGTAGGTCCGCGTATCGCACACAAACACTGGCCTTCTTTTGTTTTAATGGTTTTTTGTAAACCTAAATTCTGTAGGAGTTAAAGTGAATTTTGTGTTGTGTCGTCATATAGACGTAAAACGCTGGAGTACAGTGGAACTTGATGAACGTTGACTCAACTAATTCCGTGGAGCAGAGTCCGTCTTCAGTTTGTCAAGAAATTTCTAGCCTTTTATAGAACCCAAAGGTTTATGACCGCGTTCACAAGAGCCCGCCACCGGTCCATATCCTGAGCCAGATGAATCCAATTCTTTCCGTTTTCCTAAGTTACAGTTTAATATCATTCTGCCATCTACAGCGATGTTTTCTTTCATTCATGTTTCCCATCCAGAATTTTGTGAGCATTTCTTTTTCGCGTGTACTTCTGGACAGCTAAGAGAGATTCTTTGTTTCTGTTTATGATATTTTTGAAATCGCTGAACAAATTAACAGCACGGACCAGACGCTGATGTGTGCCTTTCAGTTTCGCATGTTTCTGCTTAAAGCGATTCTCGAAATTACTTCGATAATCGATTCGTTTGTTTCCCAACTTTCGTCTGATTGATTTCTCAGCTTCGGAGAGGCCATGTCCTGGCAGTGTAATGCGTCTTCCTGGTGTGTGTGTGTGGAAGGAGCTGGTAAGAACACGTCATCTTATTAGCCCGTGGTTGTCCAACAGTTCGACATTCAGGCTGTCATAACAAGAAACGAATGCGTGTGGCTGTGGAGTGCGAAGAAGGGAATTACACACAGATTTAGCTGTAAAAGCACCAGAAGTCCACGCCTGTAGAGATCAAATGTTCCAATCACGGAATCACACGTCATGTGAAAGGTTTTACGGGTCATAGGCTCGAGGCTCCACGCGCTAACGAGCGAACGTCGCTCGGGCGCATGATTTTTGTCGTGGCACGTTAACTCGTTCGCGTCTTTTGATACACCACAGCTCAGTGGCCCCGCCAAAAGTCATTGTATGACTCCCACGAAAACGGCCCTCGCTTCAAAACCAGTCACTGGAATTTGTCCATTGTCCATAGAATATTCAACAAACGCCGCGTTTCGACAGTTGGTTGTACTGTCTTCTTCAGGTGAGTGCAGGTTTTATTGTTAAGATTATTCTGACGTTCCTTTCGTAAAGTTGGGTGTTGCTTAGCTAGTAAAGAAGAATTCCAGTTTTTATATAACTCGAGTGTTCATTGCCTTGTTCACAAAAGCCTTACACTAAGCTCTGTCGTTAACAACATCCTCACGCCTTATTCCTTTAACATGCATTTTAATATTATTCTTCCACTTATGTCTAGGTCTACCAAAATACTTTCTTATCTTCAGATTTCCGACAAAAATATTCGCCTTGCCCATGCGTGCTAGTCAGTGGTGATGATTTCAGTGTACATAAAAACGTCAAGAATTTATCATTTATGGAACCCGAAAGTTCATTGCCACGTTGACAACAGCCCAGCGGTGTTGACTGTAGGCTTATATGGGATCAGTGATAAAAATGTTAAATAATTCTTGTATTTGTTTGCTTTCGTTTGTTTCTCAGTGTAAACAGCGATTATTTCCTTAAACAGCGTTAACCAGTTGATGTTCGTAACGGTGAAGTGCGGTGTTTTCTTCGCGGTACGGACTGAATTCTTTAATATTAATCAGACGAACTATGATTCTCAGTGTAAACAGCGATTATTTCCTTAAACAGCGTTAACCAGTTGATGTTCGTAACGGTGAAGTGCGGTGTTTTCTTCGCGGTACGGACTGAATTCTTTAATATTAATCAGACGAACTATGATTCTCAGTGTAAACAGCGATTATTTCCTTAAACAGCGTTAACCAGTTGATGTTCGTAACGGTGAAGTGCGGTGTTTTCTTCGCGGTACGGACTGAATTCTTTAATATTAATCAGACGAACTATGATTCTCAGTGTAAACAGCGATTATTTCCTTAATCAGCGTTAACCAGTTGATCTTCGTAATGGTGAAGTGCGGTATTTTCTTCGCGGTACGGACTGAATTATTAAATAAAATTTAGACGAGCTTCGGCTAGGAGTTATTTTTTAAAGACTCCCTTCTGTTCACGGAGAGTAAATTACAACCAAGAAATGGATTTGCTCTTAATTGGTAAACAAATTGTACCTGCCTCAAACCGTTGCATGACCCGCGATTTGAACTCTGGTGCTCTAAACAAGTGGACCGTAGCCGAAGGGCGTGTTTCGATGTATCTGTCGTAAAGTGGAACGCTGCTGCTGGGATCTCCAAGGGGAGGAAAGGGTGTTCGCCCCACCGTCACTTAAATCCCGCGGATTGAATGCAGATCACATCACTAGGTTCTGCATACAATGGACAAATGTGAAACACAAGTAATATATTTAATGTATTCAAATGAATTGTCTTCAATTCCAACGTTGAACTTGAGACTTCGTGTGTATTTACCTATACATTAGGTTGACAGCCATTCTTCTGGCGTCATATGAAACGGTTTATTCTTGTATATATACCAGGGATGTCCACTTTACTGTAGACACTTTATATGAACCGAATATTTTGCTGTCATCGAATTATTAGCACTTGGGACTATTACGGTCCTAATTTCTACAATAAAACTTGTAGATCGAGGCTAATGCATTGCCTATATACCTAAGTATATAAGTTTCTATGTAAACTGTTAGTATTGCACGAATTTAATCTGCTGATAATTTCTCCATAAATGCAGTTTTTAGTTTCAAGATGTCGATTACTGATTTTAAATGTTCTCTTTACTTCCAGAAAGGTTCAGATGCTGAAGTCTATGGGCGGTTTGAACTTATCCGCTGACGTCTATTTAAGGTAAGCGCCACGCCTTCTTCAGAACGTTTTATTTTCTTCAGGTACAGACAATTATATGGATAAGTCAATTCGATCTCACTGAGAAGTTATTAAACAAAATTATTGTAACCCCAGAGTTATATAAATAATTCACGAACGAATGTTACATTGAATTAATTGATCCTAATAAGTGATCGGCATTTTAACATCGTAAGCAGAGTGGGTGTGGTAATAATACAGCACAGCTCTGAGACCATATTCATGAAGCTGCATTGTTAAGGGGAAAATGTAAGCAGAAAACCATTTTAATCCATTTTTAAACCATCTACGTTTATAGTTTAAAGTTAATAACTCGAGAAAAATGGAATGTTTGTATGACCACGGACCCAAATCATACAATAAGACTGAATAAAGTTTTTCTGGAGAAGCTAACAGTCGTTCATCTAGTCAAGAAATTCCATGTCTTTTATGTAACTTAAAATTTCATTGTCGTGTTTCTATTATCCAAGTAAAGAGAGCCAACACATTTCCCTAATTTCAATTTTAATATTATCATCCCTTCCATTTGTGTTTTCTGAGTGGTCTCTTGCCTCCAGGCTTGCCAGCCAAAATCTTGTATTCAGTTTTTCATCCTACTGAATGTCTAGACGGAATAATAATTTTAGAGGTCACTCTGGATTTGAACAGGCCAGAGGTCGCAATCCGTACAAGAAGAACAGCCCGATTGCCCGAGAAGATTTTATTAATTGTACTCGCCACGAAAGTCTCAAATCCTATACTATTTATATTTGTAAAGAATTATATCCAGTAGCTATATAACAATTTATTGGTTGTGTGCATAAGTGAATGGGTAATATCGTATTAATTACGCAGGTCCAGTGGAGTGGCTGTTTCTGTTAGTAGGTTATAAGTATAATGTTCCGATGTATGTTTACACTAATGAGAGTTTTGTATCACCTATCGATATATATCGAAATCCTTGAGAGTTTGTTGTTATTCTTAATGTTCAAGTTTGTAATGGTCACGCGTTGTGTTTTCTTTGAGGTAAGAACTGAAATTATAAATATTAATTAAGTGAAGTTTCCGATTTGAATGGTCACGAGGGCATTACGCGGTCTGACAAATCAGAAGACGCCAAGGGCGCGGACGTCTCTAAACGTCTCCATGGAAAGAAGGCGAGATACGTAGCAGCCAAAACGTCCGAACCACCAGCCGTGCGCTGGCGTTACAATACGTGAAGCAGGACTGTTTATAATATGTTAATATATACAGCACATTAAGTCTGAGGTGGTTTCAGAGCGCGTAGGGTTAACGTATATATGACGTCACATCCGGGTTAAGGTGCCATGTGCTACCCTCCTCCTGCGTATTTGACACAGCCCAACAGAGCATTCTTATGTTTGGATATTAATTACAAGGAGAAAATATGCTTTGGATCATAATTGGGTACATCTGCCCTTATATGACATCACAGATCCACCACAAAGATCGCGTCCACAACTTTCCACGACGAAAAATGGCGTAAGTACAGTTGTCGGTATGAGAAATTGGTTTATTTGAAATATTTTACGTACGGTTTTGTGGTGGTGTCGTTGGTGGGGTCCGGCGATGGCCGAAGGAAACTTGCGTTAGTCGCCGTGAATATTTTTCACGTTTAATTCAGTTTATATAGAAATTTTACGCTTTCCACACGATTTGCGAAGATGTAATAAAATATATTACGCTTTAACAGGGAAAAAGATGATAATTTTCGTCAATATTAACCTGTAATACGCTAGATTAGTTAAATAATTATACTGATTACTTTGATGTGTGACGCCAGATTATTAAAAACGTTGGCCCTAAATGCTGTAGACAGCTCGACAGTTTCTTGAGCTGGCCTATACATGATGAACTGTGCCGCTGAGATCATCGAGAGGCTAGGAAGCATAATTTGAGAGAATTTCCATATTATCTGATGTCGGCCTCTCCCCCCCAGTGCCGAGTGGAGGGCAACTTTACGGACACTGCAGTGGGTTCTTGAACGTAAGCTGCATTTCCTTCCTGTTCTTAATGTTTCTTTTGTTTCAGTTAACGTTTCTTGCCAAAAACAATTTACATAATGGCCACAGTGTGCTATATATATATATTTGTTATGATTGGTGCCTTTGTTCTTGAAATAAGTTGACCGTGTTGTAGTACCGTTTGAGAAATTATTGACCTTTGTAGAGTAAGTTGGGTATTATTGCATGATAATTGTGTTATTTACTGAGGCGGTTCGGTAGGCAATTTATCTTAAGAGTTACTCACGTTGAAGTGCGTGGAATTTTGTGTGGATACGTCACTGAACTTTTGTGGTCTCCATAAAGTTGGCAAATCTATTCACTAGACGAAAGAATCAGAAAGGTGACGGCGAACAGTTAGAATTTGAAGTATTTTGATCCTGTATCTGGTCAATTACACGGTAGGTTGTATTTCCGACGTTTCGGGGGATCCTTGCTATCTTAATATTCAAGGACAGGTGGCTACCCAGTGGCTTCTCTCGATCGGTAGGGAGAGAGAGAGAGTTGTGTATCAGTCCGCAGAGAATGAAGTCATTTGGAATGAACTTAGATGAATTTTCGAAGGAGACGTCTTCTTAGTAGTAAGAATTTCGTGGAAAATACTGTGATAAAGGGAAGGGCGCAGAGAATGAAGACTTGGAGAAGGAAAGACGAAGTGGGAACAAGATGAAAGTTGTGAAGAGAAAAAGAGTTCTCTTGAAGGGAAGTTCTTTATCCCTTGTGGAGAACTGAGCGTGTCTGTGAGGGCCCCGCTGTTCGCGTGAGCAGGGCGAAGGAGCTTTCGTAGCTGATACCAGGGCAAGTCCGCCGGCCACACGCTGCCTCTTTCCCCGCGTTTATCGTCATCTCTCTGGCCTCACTTTGCTCTGCTTTTACCGGCCTCTTTCGGCTGCTGGACGCTCGCGTGGTGTTAATTTATTTTCGTGCCTGCCGTCAGAAACTGAGAGAGAGTTTCTGGTAGTTAGGAATATCGTTTAGGTAATGATTTTAGAAAAAAGGAAAGTCTGTCTTAGTCAGTATATTTCACGACATCAGTTTAAAAAAATATTCGGTTTTCTTTGTATGTTAAACAGGCAAATGTGTGGTTTCGTCATGTCCGTCTCCGAAGAAGATTTTGTCGTCCTCTTTATTAAATGTCTGACAATATGCAGCTGTAGAAAAAGGGGGAAAGAATTAAAAATTTTATAAAATCTAATAGGATGTTCATGTGACATAAAGCCATTTCGTTTTGTTAATTTTCGGGACTTCCCCTTTCTTCCTGCTTTTCTCGTGTGTCTCTTGCCCTCGCCGTCCTTGCCGTGGACGCTCTAACTCTCATTTGTACGTCATGAAAATGCATGAGCGCTGTTAACTACTGTCTGACCCGCACTTCAGACCTCTGTCAGCTCCACGCTCGCTTCCACTGCGCGTTTAATACGCCCTACTGCAAAACGAAGCCCCCAGCGCCTTGAAATCCGATCTGATTTATTTATTTATAAAGCCTTTGTTCCAGAAATACAATTAGTTTCATAAAACTTCTTTAACTTCTGTTTGCTCAGATTGTCCCCTGTTCAAGGCGAGGTAAATAATAATTTGTAAACGTGGCAGAGGTTCAGTTGAAAGTAACTTATTTAAAAGATAATTAAACTTTTGTGTCCTGAACTGAATTCCAGCTCGCGATTCTAGTTCTCAGACATATTACGACTTGGAATTATAGACATTGAACGCAGGGCAGGTGAATAAAACTGTATTTAAGTGGACAGCCTTCGGTTGTTTTCAAAAGTAATTTATAAATTAAATATCTTTTCTTATCCGAGTCCCTCCGAAAATAAACCCAACTTGTAAACGTAGTTTCGGGATCTGCAGAAATATATTCATAAATATCGTATGCATTTTTCTTCTTTATTAGAGTTTTTGTCATTGAATGTACTTACAGATTGTCAGTCAGCCAACAGACTTAAGACGCTCAGTGTCTGTATCTTTTATGTAACTTCTCGACCTTTTATTTACTCTCCTCCAAAGCCGGTAATTCGTCCTCAGGATATTAAAATATTGAATGACCGTCATATTGTTAATTTACGTTTAGCAAAGTAATTAAATAAAAGTTAACATTTTCTTTAAAGACCGAGATACCGTAAATATGTCGGAATCACACATTACCTTGCGCTGTTGTTGCTCCCACCGCAGAGTTTCGCTCTATCGTAATACTGGTGTAACTTATGTTAAGTATCTTCATGTAGCAGAACATGCATTTAGACGCTGATAGTTGCTCATCTGTTAGAGAAATTTCTCGCCGTTCATAGGACCTATTACCGTGTTTAAAAATATTATTCGTGATAATGAAATTACACTGTCGTGATGTTCACGCCAAATTTAATTAAAATCTGTCCATTATTTCGCAGTTATTAGATGGGAAAGACAAATTTGTGGACAGTCTTGATGATAACATGGGCCGGTGTTATTTTTAGAGTAAGGAGAGTGCGTTGGAAGTAAATTGAAATATATTTGCAATCCTCAGTTCTGAGAACGACCGCGCAGTTAAGAAACCAGCGTGAGGTGCAGACGGAACGGCGTCCATCTGTACACCCACTAAGAAGCAGGCGGCCATATTAGGTCATATTCCGCAACACAGGTTGCGGGGTGGTGGTGGGGGGTGGAGATGTGTCGTAAATTAGCAGGTAGATACTTATCGGTTTCCTCCTCACCTGCTCTTCATTCTTTTTACGCTTTTTTATCCTCTCTCATTTCCTTTATACGGTTCTAGTTTGCTTCACATCTGCAATGGACAATGATAAAACGCTGGTCTTTTCCAAAGCGGTAAGAAAGATATTCTGATTACAAAGAGATAAGAATCAATTACACTTACTACCGGACCTCAAAAACATTGACTCTCAAATAGCCATCCTACGTATTTTATGTCCACCTCACACAGTTTCTCGCGTGTCGTTAATTCGACCGCTGAAACAGCGTCTGATTTACGTACAGCCTGATGTTAATAGC